CAACCTCCAACTCCTGGGCTTAAGCGAGTCTCCGGCCTCAGCCTCCCAAGTAGCTGGGACCACAGGCACCTGCCACAACGCCCGGCTATTTTTTGGTTGCAGCCGTCATTGTTGGTTTGTGGGGGGCCCGGGCTGGATTCAAACCCACCACCTTAGGTGTATGTGGCTGGCGTCTTAGCCACTTGAGCCACAGGTGCTGAGCCTGTTCATTCATTTATTCATTCATTGAGTGTTTCTGATAACCATTATCAAATTCTGGCATTTATTCTTCCAGCCATTTTCCAATGCTTACATCCAGATAAAGCATGTGTGTGAACAATATGTGGAGATCTCTGATACAAGGAGATCCCTCTATCAGCTCCTCCAGCCCTGAGACACTGCAGTTAATGCTTTGGAGAACAATAATAAAGGTGCGGATGGGAAACAGGAAAGCTCTGAATTGTGAAGGTAAGTTGTGAGTTTCCTCTGCAAGAAGGTAAGGGACTGGATCAGCAAAAGCATCAGTGGAACAGTGACACCAAGAGACAGAGATACCATGAGGACCAAGCTGGCTGATAAGTTGAGGTGGTTGGGAAGAGAGGAAGATGGTGTTTCTAAACTGTCTACAAATAGGGCACCCTCTATGCATAAGCCATTAATTGAAAATATGAAAAATGTGACTGCTTTTGTAACTCTGTAGATCACACCTATTAAAGGAAACTCTGAGTCTTTGAATACATTGTCTCAAGGCCTTTTCACATGCTATTCCTCATCTTTTCCTCTCTCCTCTATCTTTGTGTGGCAGCCATTTACTAGGTAGTTCTCCCAGAAATGTCATCTTCAGAGAGACAACTTCCAGGTCCCTTTAGCTAAGTAGCCTCTCTTGCCTACAGTTGTTCCCAACCCCATAAACCTATCCTATTTTCTTCAAAGCAGTTATTTCTGGAATCATACTGCATTTTATTATTTAACTGCTCACATTAGGAGTCAGCCAACTTTTTCCGTAAAGACCAGATAATAAATATTTTAGTTTTTGTGAGCCACAAGGCCTCTGTTAAAGTGACTCAACTATTTTATCATGAAAGCCATCATATAAAACATGCAAGTAAATGAGTATGGCTGCATTCCAGTAAAATTATTTAGGAACACAAATATAAATGTCACGTAATTTTCATGTGTGACAAAATCTTATTCTTTTGATTTTTTGCAACAGATGATTTGAAAAAAAAAAATAGAAAAACTATTTTTAGTTCCCAGGGTATACAAAGACAACCAGGGAGGCTGGATCAGCCTTCAGGCTGTAGTTTTTTGACACCTGTTCACCTTTTTCTTCCTTTCATTTCTCTTCCCTTCTATTTTCATTTTATTCTTTTCTTTTATAGACGGACCCTTCTAAGAGGATGCCATGAAGGCTATGTTAACCTGTTTGATGAAAGTATTTCAAATTGTATATAAAGCCAGCATACTGTACCCCATGACTGCGTTAATGTACACAGCTATGATTTAATAAAATAAAAAAATAAAGATGGACTCTTGCTCTGTTGCCTAAGCTGGAGTACAGTGGCACCATTTTAGATCACTGCAGCTTCATACTCCTCCTGGCTCAGCCTCTTAAGTAGCAGGGACTACAGATGCACCACCATACCCAGATAATTATTTCTATATTTTTAGAGATAGAGTCTCCCTACATTGCCCAGACTGGTCTTGAGCTCATCAGCCTCCTGAGTTGCTAAGACTATAGGAGTCAGTCACCATCTCCAGCACATGTTTATTTTCTGCTCTTTTCCCATCTCCGCTCCACTTTTAAAAGAGCAAAATTACTGTCATCCCACTGTGTATACATCTTCCAGCAAAAATTAACAAAAAATAGTTGTTAAGAGTTGGCCACATACAAGCTCTCATCAAGATGATAGACCTAAAAGACATTCAACTTTAGTGTGTTACGAGCTATGGCTCATAAACGGCATCCCCTAGATTTATGTAGTGTACAACCTGCACAACTTTACCTGGTGGCCCTGGATCTCTTACACACTCTTTTGACCCTTCATGAGCTTTTCTGCTTCTCCCAACTAGCACAATACCAATTCCACAATCCCTGCTTTATAACGATAAGTCTAATTTCACTTTGGTTTCTTTTTAATATATTCATCTATTACTATAACTTTGCTTAGCGCTGTCATAGCTATTATGTTTCTGTTACTAATTGTTAGAATCGTTTTACAGGTAACCCTGATGAAAGACGCAAACTTAGGAAAATTAAATCCACAAAGAAAAACCACGCCCACAGATATCTTTAGTAGTTCACAGGTAGCCAACATCATAAGAAGAAATACTTACATAAACTTTCTGAGCCACTGCCATATGTATACCTTATATTTTTGTGAATGTTCTTAATAGCACGAACTGCTTCACTGGCCACTAGAGACTGGAAGCAATGGGATATGGCATTTCAGTTAATTGTACAGTTTTCAAACAGGACACGTAGAAGTTTCTAAATAATCATACATTATTTGAATCAAAGTGTATAGGTGAAAAATTCGGACCTATCCAAAAAGTCAATTAATAATAAACGAACTAAAAAAAAAATGTGTTTCACTTTGTGGGAATCACAATTGGGTGGCTTTAAACATAAACCCTTCCAATTCGTTGAAAATTGTATTTAATTTGTAAAAAAAAAAAAATAATTCTCACATGCCTTTTTAGAAATTCATTTGTTACGAAACATGAAGTATTATATTTCAAAGGTTTTGAGTTATTGCATTCGTAAACAAAATTATCACTACACTTTAAATCCAACTTCCCCGAACACGTGCACACATCTAATGCACATGTGATTAACTTTTCGTCTTTCTGACAAACTCTGTTTTCTTCTTGTGTAAAGTGTCAAATGACTTCTGCAGACTAAGCCAACCAAAAAGAGTATGTCCCCTGTATGGGGCAGGATATTAACTAAGTCCCCCTTTGAACTGTTCCAGCTTACCAAAAAATCTTTTCTGAAGCTCTCGGTTACCCAGATCTTTTCTGAAATTGGAACTAGCATCATGGTATTCCCAGTCACTATCTTGAAAACCCCGGAGGAGTATCAGTGGATACTATGTTAAACCATTCCTTTGTTCAGAAAATTGGTTTCAATGAAACCTCATTGTCTATGTACTAAAACACAAATTTATTCCAACATTTGAGCCTTTTCGCATGCCCCCTTCAGCTACTTGCTGTTGGTCTCACCTTCCACTTCTGCACTCTTAAGGTCCCCCGACAGCTTTCCTGAGGGGAATGCCGTCTTCTCTGCTTGGAAGGTCCTCCCTTCCCTAGCTGCCCATAGGAATGCTCTTCTGATGTCTGGCTGAAATTGTATCTGTTCCTTGATGTCAGGACTTTATTATTCTTTTTTCTTTACAGTATGTTACCCCTTAATAGACTATAATTTCCTTAAGGCATGGACTACTCTGTCCCCTCATTTATCCATTTCCCTCTCAGTGAATTATTAAGGCCATTCCTTGCTATCTCAGTGAGAAGCAAGTTCTATTACCCATGCCAGTTATTTGGTAGTTGTTACATGTCACCCTAGATTACAGCTATTGGTAGCATTTGCTAGTAGTTGAGCTCCCTAAACATACTGTATTCTCTTAAAGGGCAAGATCTTCTTATCTAATTCTTCTGTGAATGTCTATTTAACACGGTATTTTACACATAACACTTAAAAAATTCTTCTGCTGATAATAATCCCCAAATGAGGCACAATTAAAGTAATTCTGCTTTCCAATGCATTATAAATATCCTTTCATTTTTTTGTTTTCAAAGAGAATACCAAAAAAAGGAGCTTTCCTTAAAAGTTTTCCCTGGAGAAGAAAAAAGAAGCACAGATATCCAGTGTGTTTATCGTCTAATCAGAATGCTTTCAGAAAATGCAAATAACCTTATATTTCTCATCAGCAATTTCTAGCTCCTCCAATGTGACTATATTTTGTCTGTTAGGAGAACCAGGAAAAAAATATGAGTAGTAAGAAACAAGGTACTGCAGAAAGATCAGTCCCTACTTAAGAATCGGGCTGTTGCTATAACATTTCCATTTTCTGGAAAGCATCTGGGGTGAGGATTTGACTAAGCCTACAGTCCATCCAGAACCCTCGCATCGTTTACCATCAACCCATCTCACATCTGTAACTAAAAAGTAGAGAAGATATAAAAGACTGTGTGGGTCCTCCTTAAACCTTCTGGATTGTCCACCACCTTCCAAATGAACAGACTCTTGCCTCAGTGCTGAAATTAGAGGAGGTAGTTTAACAGGACTAAACCTTGGGGGTTAAAGAGGTCAGTGCATAAACAATTCCCCCTGCTAACACCAAAATGATGAGTGTTGTATTGAGTCCATCTGTTTTGTGCTGTCGGAGGAAAATAGAGACCACAAAGTCCCACAGTTCCATGGACTCTCGTCCTTGCTCATATGCTTCATATGCAGATCTGGGCAGGTGGAATAGTTCCTTCCTCGCCCTCAAAGAATTTGTCTGACATTTTCATTCATCCCCTAGAGGAGAAAATTCTCTCCATAGCATTATTTTATTTCTAAGATCCTAATGAGAAAAATAATTAAGCAGCACTTACCAGCTCCTCGTGGTCTTTGCTTTTGATTTTGCTGTAGGAATATGGAAACAGTATCTTCTGGGAGTATGAATGCATGCTGATGTAAGCTTTAATGTGGTCAGTATTTCTTCTCAGGAAATTAGCCACCGCCTTCACTTCTGGTTCTGACTCAGGATAAGGTCCACAGTAGATTTCTGAACACGAAATATTTGATGCGCCTTTCTCTGTCATAAAATTGATGAAATGGAGTTTTGAGGGGATGCACATACTATTGGAATTGGTGGTTTCCCTGACAATGTATGCTATACTGCACCATTTTTAGATAAATGGATTAGGGAGGACTCTGTAAAGCAGCAGAGCCCAGCCTTTTTGGCACCAAGGACTGGTTTCACAGAAGACAATTTTTCCACGGAGGTGAGAGTGGTTTTGGAATGATGCAAGCACATTACATTTAGTGTGCACTTTATTTCTATTATTATTACATTGTAATATGTAATGAACTCATTATACAACTCACCATACTGCAGAATCAATGAGAGCCCTGAGCTTGTTTTCCTGCAGCTAGACTGTCCTATCCTGTATCTACAGCTGCTCCCCAGATGCTGGCATCACCACCTCAGCTCCACCTCATATCACCAGGCATTCGATTCTCATAAGCAGTGGGCTACCTAGCTCCTTCTCGGGCATAGTTCATAGTAAGGTTCATGCTCTTATGAGAATCTAAGGCCACTTGTGATCTGACAGGAGGTGGAGCTCAGGCAATGATGCAAACGATGAGGGGCGGCTGTAAATATAGATGAAGTTTCACTTATTCACCTGCCACTCAGCTCCTGCTGCAATATCCTGGTTCCTAACAAGATCTGCACTTGTCTGTGTCCCAGGCATTGAGAACCACAGCTGCAAAGAACATAGTTCCAATGTCCACTATGTGTTGGTTATGTTTCTTTTGAAGTTAAATATTTCTATGTTCACATAGCTGACCTTCTAACAGTATTTCCAGATCCTCCCTTGCTCCCTGGAGGGAGAAGCCATCTTGCAATCTTGAGAAAATGGCTATGAAAGAGTCGCAGAGACATCAGACGTCAAATATCAGCCCTGTCTCCAAACTTCTGTTATGTGAGAATAATTAAACCCCATTTTCTTTAATCCAGAGTAAGTTGAGTTTTTTGGAGTTTAAAAATTATTCATCAACATGGCCCATATTAGAAAGGCCTCACTCAAGAATTCTAAATATGCCTTCAGTGCTATTTTTAACCTGCTAAAGTGGTTTAGTACCTAAAAGGGATTGGCAATATTTGTTTCCAGAATAACGATTATTCATTCCTTTGAGAGATTATAGTTGGTGTCACTTCAGGTAGCAATCTGTCTTCCAACCCTTCCCCTTCTTTCCCTAATTTACAGGGTGGGAGAAGCTCCAGGAAGTCCCATATGATCCAAGAGGTTATTCCCTTCTGGAAACAGATAAGGGACCAGAAATGGATCTGTCACTTCTGTTCTCCCAAACTGGATCCCTCCAGTAATAACCTGAAATCAGGACTATGATTCTAGTTTTGGTCTAGCTGTCCTCTTGAGCAAAGATGACAGCAACAGTCATACAACCCACTGGCACCTGTGAAGCACCTGCTGTCTGTCAGGAACTCTGCTAAGATTTCCATCATATTTTATTTAATTCTCACAGCAACCTTATGAAGTAAATACTGTTATTTTAGAAGATGCAGTTAAGGCACTCTTGGAGGTAACTATCCTTCACAATAAAAGACTACACAGCATATTGTTAAGCACCCAATCATTTGATGCTAATCTTGGCTTTGCCATTTAATAGCTACATAGCCTTGGGTAAATTTTCTTAAACCTATCCCCATCTCAACTTCCTTATTTTGAAAATGGAAAAATTATACAATGAATGAAGATTGAATG